CGTTCAGCCTCCCGGCGGCTGCCGAGCGCGGCTGACCCGAGCGGCAAGTTTACGTTGCGGGTTGTGCATTTCACGTATCCCACGGAGAAGTAAAATGCGCGGTAAAGCGGACTGACGGTGTTCGTAGGAAGGGGTCAGAACGGGGCATGCGTTCTAAACATGGAGGGCGATGAAGAGGAAGACTACATGTCCGATTTGTTTATTAAGTAAGTAGGTGGCTCTTTTTTTCCCCTCTTAAGTGATTGTAAGCATGTAAAAAAAAAAAAAAAAAGTGCTGATATTTGCTGGAATTACTAACTCTTAGACAGGATGTAAGGCCTGGTTTGCCCATGGTGAGGCGGATGAAGGAAGCTATTCAGAAAGAAGAAAAGCAAAAAGAAGCCAATGAGAAGAACAGACAGAAGAGCATAAAAGAAGAAGAAAAAGAGAGACGTGACTTGGTATTGAAAAGCGCGTTGGGCAATGAGAACAAAGGTTTTGCTTTGCTCCAGAAGATGGGCTACAAAAGCGGCCAGGCCCTTGGCAAAAGCGGTAAGCTTGTCTCTATTTGGAAGTGTGTGCCTATATACAGGTGTACCTTTATATTTTGCAGGCTGTAGGTGCTACTTCATTTGTAGACAGGGTCAATAGATGCGTCTCTGAGAGCCCTAGTGTTACTGAACTGTGAACGTGTAGTGGCAGAAGAAAAGATGAGAGCAAATTTCTAAAAGCTGAAATAAAAGTGGTACAGACTATCAAGAGATGCGAATTAAGCAGTGGTACTGCTGCTCAGTAAACGCGCTTCTGTATTTGCATGTCTACAGGAATTGCATTAAGCAAGTTTGGATGGTCTTGCAAAGCTAATAGTGTTCCAAAAAAATCAACCTCTCTTTTTGAATTTATAGTTGGATTCTGAAGAAGAAATAGTGTACACTGGCATACGCTTATAAAGCCTTAATAGATGAAGTAAAATCAGTAAAACAAAGCATCGATAAGGGCTGTGCTAGTTCCACGTCTCTAGCAGACAATTGGCAAATGAACTGGCCCAGACAGATTCTTTTTATTCTTCGTCTTTGTCAAGTTGTGAAATTCTAGAATGAAAAATGCTACAGAAAGCTATAACAAAGCTTCATCACAGGTATATAGCATACCTGAAAAAGGTATATAGCAATCCAGCAGACAAGCCAAAAAAAGAGGGAGGTCCAGTTCAGCTGTTCTGATGCACTAAACATACATTGATTGGGGATTTTTCAACTTCCAGGTAACAAAGTCACAAGAAAATGTACGTATTTTATGGCAAATGCAGCTTACCTACTTGAAAATTCTGCACAAATTATAGTTTGAGAAAGACCTGATTTCTTAAAGTTGCCTATTTTTTCCCTTTCAGGAGAAGGCATTGTTGAACCTATTCCTTTGAACATAAAAACAGGTTTGTGATACTTCCTAATGTCTTAGTTGGGTAGTAGAGCTTCTCAACTGCTTACATTCATCTTTTGAACTTACGTAGGCAGAAGTGGGCTTGGTCACGAGGAATTAAAAAAACGAAAAGCTGAAGAAAAATTGGAAAACTATAGACAAAAACTCCATATGAAAAAACAAGCAAATGAACAAGCTGCAGATCAGTTCAGGTAAAATGATGTAACTGATACTCCAAGCAATGTGTAAACAATGATTTTTTTTTTTATGCTTTAAGTTTGATTATTCTTTTAATGTGTTACTATTTTTGAATGTTTTGAATGAGAGGTAAGAGTTGAAATACAGAGTAATTGTTTCTCAGTTCTAAAGCAAAAGCAGATGAACACTGTAAGGCTAAAAGTGTGTGCTGCATCATTTATTTATGTAAATGTTCGTAATGCAAAAAATATGCATACTAACTTTCATCCAGTCATTTGCAATTTTTTTAGTTGGAGAACCATATAATCTTTTTTAATATAAAATCCATGGATAATCATGAGCAATGTTGCTACAATGGTTTTAAAAATCAGAGAAAATTTGTTTAGGTTTAGGTATTTTTATTTTCTCCTGATTTGCTTGTTATTTGTGGAGAAGGAAAGCCTAGGGAAGGCTGTATATTTTGCAGATGTGTAGTGAACCACTTTTTTCATGTCTTATGAAAGCCCGATGAAAAAACAGTGTTCAGTATAGTGTGGTTAAAAAAAACCCACTGTCTTGAAGGTGTAACTGCCAAGAAGTATATGTGTGCTCCCACAGAAACAATGTCAGAAGGACTTTTTAACTTCAACATTGTCCTGATGTGTGAGAATTAGCAAGGCTAGAATCTTAGATTTTTTTTTTTTATTTTAGAAAAGCTATTGACTATAATGCATCTCAGTGTTTGTCTACCTGCTTATTTTAGCTATCTACTTTTTCTTAACAGAATAAGATTCAAAAACAAACAAGAAGAACGTAAGATGGAAGGGGACCTCCGAAAAAGCCAGAGGGCCTGCCAGCAATTAGATATGCAAAAAGTGAGACCTATGTTTCTTTGGGTTGGAAGGAAGTCTTATAGGTTAGAGATACATGCCACAAACAAAGTAGATTCAATTCTTGGAAGTCCTCTGAAATTGAGATAACTAGCCTGAAAGCTTGATGTTTGGCAACATTTCAGTCCTCTTAAAATATTTCAAAGTTTACATTTGCACCATTAAGATATTTGAAGGTGTACATCAACCTCCTGGGAACTTACGTGAGGACCCTTCTTAATTTGCTTTATCAGAGCTCACCTGGTTTTGCTCCTGTATTCTTGTGGTTACTTTTGAGCTGTTTGCATATCTTTCGGTAGCCAATGTCAGGCTGTCCTAAATGACAGTGCTGTTTCCCTCAAGTGAGGGAGCAACATCATCAAAAAGTGGTCGATGTTGGAAGGGACTCTGGAGGTCATCTTGTCCAACCCTCCAGCTCAAGCAGGGTTGCCTAAAGCAGGTTGTCCAGGACCGTGTCCAGAGGGCTCTTGAGTATCTCCAAGGATGGGGATCACCATTGATGGAATTGGCAGATTCACCAAAGAAGCATTTGAACAAAAAACAAACCCAAAAGAAATCTTGCACCTGCAAAGAATCACATGGGTAATAGCAGTGAACTGCTATAATTTTTTGCCACTTGGATACTTTAAATGCTTTCTTTTCCCTATTAACCTGTTAGAGGTTGATACTGCCCCAGTTGTTCTGCTGAGATTGTTTGATACTCCTTGAGCTGCTTCAGATGAAGTCAGGTGAATTAGCTTAGTTCATCTTTGCTGTTTCTTCTTCCTTTAACTTTACCTGAGGTGGATTAGGAAGCACTGTGTGATCTCTTGATGAAATAACTTGGGGCAGCATATCTCTAGCTGATAAGAAAGAGTATCTGTTCTCAGCCTTGGTTTGTGATTATGTTGCTGTGTAGCTTTACACATGCTGGACATAAATGGAATAGAACTTAATGTTAGCATGCATTTGCTTGGGTTTTTTTTTTAAAAAAAGTGAAAAATCCTTATGGACCACTGTACTTAGTTTCCCACTACAGCTTTAGGAATTCTCTGTTATACTATACAGGAAAGTTTTAAAACCTAACACGTCGTCTGTTAGAAATTGGTTTTATCCAGCATCCTCCAAGAAAACCTACAAAGGCAGCTAATTTTCAATTAAATCCTTCATTATTTAAGGATATTGATGTTCCCAAGGAGACTTGGTATTGGCTAGAACCTGAGGAGGAAGACAAAAAGGATGAGGAAGACCAGGAAGATGAATGCACAAGCTCCGACTTAAATGTAAGCTCTGCAGCTAAATTAATGGCTTGATTCAGAATTAAATTTCCTTAATGTTCCTTTTAAAAAGTATGTTACATACATGTATAAAGGATGTATGTATACATGTCATTTTCCAAGCTGTAGTGAATGGCCTCTTTGCAATCACAGAGCAATGATTTTTTTATAGAGTTACATGATAAAATACAAAACATTAAACCACTGATTTATTGCTCCTCTGTTTTGAAGCTGATCTTTGGAAAAAGTAGCGTAGAAATTAAATTCTAAACATTTATTTGTCTTAGCCAAGATATACAAGATCACATAGTTGATCCAAGTTACTTGCTTTTGAGTTTTAATTTTGGATGCTTCATCTCATGTGTTAGGCTGAATTTTAGAATCACTAAGTCATTTCTGAAAATGCTTCACAGACTAGCTCGAGATGGACACTGGAAAGTCACATTTTTTACAAACTAGATTACACAGCTGTTGTTAGCCTTATGTGTTTGATTTGCAGAGATTAGGTGTGAGAAATTCCACCAAAAATATCATACACTTGGAATAAGGTAGCTAGGTAATATTTTTAGCTCTCAGTGCAGGTTTCTTAGCTGGAAAGAAGGATGAGCAAACAACAGCCATTATTATGTTTCCAGAGATCATGAATTCCTGTGCCATCTGCTATAAATTTGGGAAACTTCATGCCTTACTGAGCATTGTGTAGCTTTTCTGTAGCAAAAGGTTAAACAATCTATTTTAGCAAAGTTAGTAGCTCAAACTGTTCTATGTTACATGAACTCCAGTTCATTGCATACCTGTAAATATCTCTAGGTCTCGGAAAAGCTACATATGTTGACTGCCTATTTGAGAGAAGAACACTTCTATTGCATTTGGTGTGGAATAACATATGAAGGTGAGAGTATACTAATCTTGTAAGTGGTTTACTTTGCTTATGCAGCTAGACTCAAATATTACAATATATCCCTTATGTTTCTCTTATTGCATTCCTTTAAACTTACATAGCAAATTTTCCTTCTAGGCTGCTGGGTTTTGCACAAAGCTTTGGATGTTTTGATTATAAGCCTATTTTTAGGTGTTTACATGCACGCACACATGCACACACACACACACACACACACACAAAAAATCTTCCAACCGTACTGGCATTTATTTGAGTTGGTATTCATATTCATTTTGTTTTGAGAAAACAAAATTCAGATTTTAAAACTAGTACCATAAAAAGCTGCAAAAGCTTGCAGGTGTTTCTGAAACAGAACACTATCCAGTTTCACTGCACCAAAGAGGCTAGAATTTGTGTTCAGTGTTTTAAAACAAAGTTTGGAATAACTTGCAAACCTTCTCGAATTCTATTTAATCTGCCCTACCTGTATTCTTCAAATAATTCTAGCAACTTTTTTTTTTTTTTCTCTCCTCTGAGCTGGAATTACTCACTTTTTCTCTGCTTATGCCGTAGACTCTGAAGATTTATCTTCAAACTGCCCTGGAAACAGTGCTGCCGATCATGACTAAGGCCTTTCTGAAGGAAGGAGTCCTAGATAAGTATGTATAGTTCATAATATTTTTTAGAAGGTTCAGAGCTGTGCCATACTGAAGAAATCCACACCAATGTATGCAGAAGAATAGTTATGTTGACAGGTTAAACTCACGTTTCTGCAGCATCTTGTGGATTTTCTGCTTGATGCACAACTTAATAGGAATTTAAACTTTGCATTTATAATCAAAGTGCCATAATTGAGAAGCCGGCTAAGCCTTCCACAGTCTTTGGTTATGCCCTGCCCAACTGAAAAATATCAGCTGATAATAAAATTCGAGTTTGAGTAACAGAATAAATATTGGCTAGTTACTCTGTTGTATAATGTGTTAAACAGTTTTTTTTCATCTTTACAGACACGACTAAACATCAAACTTTTTTTTTTTTTCTTATTACCTTAGACGTGGTGGGGAAAAAAAAAAAGCTTGTGAAACATTATAGTCATGTTATTGGAACCCATATTCTGTTGTATGTAAAGGTGCATATTTTGCATAACTAAATAGTGTCAGGTCATGTTGTTGGGTTGTTTGTTTTTTTAAATATGAAAAATACATTTTAATAGACCTTTTATTTTTAGGGAACAGCAGTTGCTACTGTAAACAGTCACTAATAGAAAGGTACTGCTGAAGTATACAAATACTACGGGGGGAAAAAAAGTATCAAAAACTACTGGAACAAGCTCAATATTACCTAGCAGTAAGAAGGTAATGGTAATCTCGGCGCTTTGCGCAAGAACTGTAAAGGATATTCAGTCAAAGTTTTTCACATAGCAATTTTCATATAATAAGATTAGATTTGTGTGTGAAAGGGAAGAGGAAGTGGAACTAGTGGTATTTTGTGTCAGGATATCATTTCTCTCAGATCTTGACCACTGCAAAGAAATATTAATTAGCCCAGAATAGTGAAATGCTCTCTGTATTTGTGATTTGTGATAAGGAGGAAAAAAAAAAAAACCAACTTCAGGCTTTACAAAGGGATGTAAAATCAGATGCTTATTTAGCAACAAATACTTGCAGCAGATCAGCAATAATTTCCATAAGAATATAAAAATTACTGTGCATTCATTTATATTATTCCTTTTAACCAAGCACCCACTTTTAACCCATTTAACATTTCAGAAAAAGCATACAGTACTTTACTACACATAGTAGCTATTTTTCTGCTCAGAAATCTGTTCGCTTGCCTTTATGGACATATGTGGGCTCCACGGCAATGAATAGTTTGACAGGATACAGTTCAAAGACAAGCATCCGAAGGAGTAATGTGCCGGTCTTTTCTCCCTGCTCCCTACCACCACACACACAATTGCTCCAATCCCGGCAAGTCTGAACTCTTTGAAGTATATAACTAAAGAGTCACAGGCATACTGCTGTTACTTCTTTGGGGGCTGACAGTAAGGCCATCAGAGGTATTCAGTACACTTGACAAGGGTTAGGCATGCCTCAGTATTACAATAAGGGATTAAAACCTAGCAGTATGGGAGAGAATTTTTAAGGTGCTCTCTCAGCACAGGATTTAAAATTATTACTACCAAGGAAACTGGAGAGTTTTCCTATATTAAGAGAATCTTAGGTGTTCCTTTCAGAAAAAAAAAATCAAAACCTAAGGTTTTTAAAAGTTTAGAACAAATCTAAACTAGATTTCTGAGAAGCTGAATGCTTAACACTTAAATTCTCAAAGAGTGCTTTCTTTAAAAAGTATGTATTTTTAAATTCTAGAGCACTGAAGGTGCTAAGTCTTCAACAGGTGTGTAGAGACAATAAAGTTCACCTTAAAGAACTGAAATTCAGTGAAGAATAACCGACACCTATTCCTAGGATCTTTTCTACAAAAATTAGTCTTGGTATTAATGGGAGCATTCTAGTAATTATTAAAAACATCACTGAACAAGTCAGAAAGGTGTGAGTCAAATACCACAAGACAGCACTTCTTCCATAGAAAGCAATAGATAACCTTAACTGATAATGGATGCAGCGCATGTTAAGAGCATGCATACTGGGATTTGCCACAGGCCAGTTAGCACCACATCAACTTAATCTTCCAGGAGACAAGGACTAGGTTCCTGTACTTACTGTATAATATAGTTCAGCTCATCCACAACCTGTGTTTCCAGGTAAAAATCACAAGTGATTGCTTGCAGAAATACACTGTCCTAGTCTGCAGCTGATGGGCGTGAATGGTGGATGTGACCCTTTTGGCTGATGAGCTCTTCAACGGCAGGAAGTCGAAACACCAAGGAAGAGACATATCCTATGTTGTCTTGTTGCTTCTGACATTTATGATTCTTTCATCAGTTTCAACAGGCATCAGACTCTGGTTTTAAAAACAGTCTGAAAGCCTTTTGAAGGGGCATTTACTGTGTATGAGTTTTAAATGAGTTGTCTTTATGAACAGACTTACAAAAGTCAAGTATTTCAGATGCAGAGTATCTTCCTGAAGCATCTCTTGAAAGCATCTTTTTGATTATGGGTGCCTGCAAAAAGAAATAAAATGTCAATAAATTATTTTTTATGAGTAAGTAAAATAACTGAAATAATGTATTAAAATCCCGTACCTCTGTTGGAAATCGGTTGGTGAAGCTCTTTGGAAGTTTACCTTCTCTAACATCATTCCATACCTGAAATTCATAAAAGTGAACATTTTCAGTATGTTTTCATTGATGATATTTAGCATCTCATTTTATGACTGATATAATTTACTGAAGTAATTAGAAAAATACAAATCTACATAAAGGTAAGGCTTCAAAAAGAAAGTAACTGTAAACAGTTTGAAAGTTTTATCCATTTAGTTGTACTTTGTTTTGTTTTTATGGTCTTTTCATTAACTGCGGTCCCTTTTTAAGCTTAAAAACTTCACACTCTACAATGATGTGTGACTAAATTTCCTACTTTAGATATTATTTGCAAGCCAAGCAGGTGTACTTCCTCTCTTTTACCTTGTTCAGTACCACACACTTGTTTACTGCTGTAACATAGAAATACTATATGGAGTTCAAAGCAACTAACATATAGAGGATTTCTAATTATATGCTTTCAGAAACTGCTTCTGGGTAACAACTCTATTTTTCCACATGATGTGGCTTTCCAGGTAAACAGAGCAGTCCACATCATTCACTTTGCTGTTAATTAGTGTAATGTGTGCCTGGAGAAGATGACGGGCATATTTTTGCACGCTTAGCTATGCATCCTGAATCATTAGCTAGTCTTATGGATGTTAACCAATATCCAGTAAAACAACAGCTCCCATGAACTTCAATTTTTTTCCTACTCTTCAGCAGTAGGTTTAGGCCTGTGACCCTACCTGCTGGTGATAATCACCTAAACCGGTTACTCAACTCATAATCATCACCTTCACCTTTGCATGATGTTCTTTCAGCAGGGCTTGCCAGCACCATATAACAGAGTTTATCGTGCTCCATTAAATGGATTTTTTTTTTTAAGCTGATGGAGCAGCTGAAGACAATCCTAGGACTTTCCATTCACCTGATTTCCCCACCTGCCTACAGACACAAGATTTTTATGCTTTAAGGAAACGAGACAAAAATTGGTCTTGCCCTTTTGACTGTAAACACTGTGGGACTGTAGACACACTTGCACAGTCAGCTGTGAGCAGGAACCAGATGTCTCAGAGAATACTACAAGGTAACTAAACAGAGCCAAGTTGAACTTGTGAGTGGAAGAGACACATCGGTATGGTTTTCTCTTACTGGCAAAAGGACCAAGCTAACAGTGTTCAAGAGCTTCTGGGTCCAACCATGTACATATATCTTGAAATTATTTTAGACAAGATACTAAGCTGCTGCATCGCTGTCCTACAAATACATAGGTTTGAGCATATGAGCTGTTACACTAAGAATACTCGAAGTACCAAGAAAAAAACAAAAGACACCTTTTCAAAAAAAGCTTAAGTAACACTGGTTTTCTTTTTGAAGTAACATCTTTTTCAATTAAAACTACATATTCCAAATCACTTCTGTTTTGATTTTGGAAAACTGCAAGTGTTTGGGCTTTATAGAAACTTGGTTCTTGCTCCACTATGCAGTGAAGACGAGCATGGCAGAGACAAAACTCTCCCATTCATAATTTTTATTTTCTAAAATTAGAAACATATTCCCTTCAAATATTCAGATCAAACAAAAAGATCTATCAGAAACTTCAAGTCTTTTTTGCTAGACATTATTCTTTAGCATGCTCAGCTTTCATGTGCATGTCAGTAGGACATAAGTGAAATAAAACCAGTAATGTTTCTTTACTTCAGTTATTACATTTCAACCGAGGTGTGAGGACTTACGGGTCGTAAAGAAAAAAATGAGGGGGCAGATGCAAATAGAGACAGTACTCTAGGTGTACAGATTACTTCTAGCATGCAATACCAGCAGCAAGGCAAAAAAATGACTGAGTTTTTTTTTTTTTAATTTAAAGATTACATACCTTGCTTTTCTCATGACGACTGGCTGCTGAAAGAATTTCAAACCAGATTAATCCCAGTGCGTAAATATCTACTTCCTCTCCATATCTGTCCCCAACCTACAAAGATTAAAACAAGAACAATATAGATGTCAAATCCAAGTGGACAGGACTCCTTAAAACAAAATTTTACGTCAGTAGAAATTTCCACCCCGAGGCTACAGGACTGTCCCTATTTGATCTTATTATTAGCTGTTAACCCTTTCTGCTACAGACCTGTTAAATAGCGACTATTTTGTCACATTAAACAGACTGAAATCAAGACTTCTACAGACCTATATAGATAAGACATGCCAATATCTCTCTGTTACAAATAATGAAACAAATAGAAGGACTCCAATGCCACAGTTAACAGAGGTCCTAAATTCAAATGGAAATACACGGCTGGCACCTGGTTTTGCAAGAGCATTCCTTGCAGCAGACCCTGTAGGTTAGCACAGTGAAATAAAATCACCACACTTGCAGACAGCTTTCTCCAGAACACATTTATCCTTGTATAGAGTCATACTAGGGAACTTTCGGCAACTTGGTTTAGTACTGAGATTAGGATTGACAACATCCATGCTGAGTTTATAATGCAAAACTAGTTACAGAGACACTAATATAGCAGGATAATTACCTGTTCTGGTGCCATATATGATTCTGTTCCTCTGTTCCTAGTCAGAGTCCCATATTCCACAGAAGTCACAAGACCAAAGTCGCCTATTTTTATTTTATCTTCATGTGATATGAATATGTTCTGAGGCTATATATGAGAAAAAAAAAATCGCCATATGACCAAGGTTTATTGTCTAGCATAATCAGTCACATAAGTGCTCCCCATAAAATTTGGTAGTTGTTCACAGAAATTAGCATTAAGAGACTCATGGGGTAGGAAACAGAAAAAAGTTAAATTAATTTTTAAAAACACAAACTAAATTTAAAGTAGTACATGCCACAGTAACTGTGACCTTTTTTTTCCACCAGCTCAGTCATGCCTGTATCATGCTTTAGTGCTTTTCAAATACATTGGGCACATAACATTTCCTATCCAGAAGTACTTTTTATTATTCAGTCCTAGCCCTGGAATTTGATACACTTGGGCAAAGCATTTAGGCTCACATGGAATGCCACTGAAATCACAGTTTCTCCTGGGCACACCAGGATTATCTGTGCTAAGTCAATTGCAGAGTTAGGCCTTACTACAGGCATCCCAGTGCAGTTGTTCTGTTCAAGTTTGACCATGTCCACACACATTTAATACAGTAGCTATACCTGGCTACACTATTTGAAGACTTCGTTCACACCAGACACAAATGGGATTAATCTCAGCTTGAACCTATCCTGAAGCTTTCATTCTGGGACATGGAGATCTCAGATGGCCAAGCATCTAAGCTGACAGCAGATCAAGTGAGGAGAAAAGTTCCTAAATTCAAATGCAGACAGGCAAGTTAGCAATAGGACTTGGAAGCAGGTTACAACCAGATGCCATGGATAAGGGACTGGGGCAACAGATTTACAGGAATAGGGAATAGTAGGAGATTGAGCTGAGATGAAAATAAAGTAGGACTGAAAGAGCAAGAAAATACAAAGCCCATAGAGTGGGAAGAGCTAAGAATTAATGGGTGAGAAGGCACTTACTAGGCCTCTTTTTCCCAGGCATCTAGAGAAAATAATGAGTGTATATTTGTGGTTCGTTCCAGTATCATAGGATATATGTCCATAATACAAGATTCTACGAGTAGGCAGTGAACATGATCTGGAACTACACTATGAATGCAAAACGCAAAATATTTCAATCTTTGGCTCAAGAAGTCCATAAACTTCAGGTTACTGGAAGTCTTGAGAGGAAAGGAATATCATAGAATCATAGAATAGTTAGAGTTGGAAGGGACCTTAAAGATCATCTGATTCCAACCCGCCTGCCCTGGGCAGAGACACCTCCCACTAGACCAGGTTGCTCAAAGCCCCATCCAGCCTGGCCTTGAACACCTCCAGGGATGGGGCCTCCATGGAATATGCATCGAGGACAGCATTACTGTATCATCTCTCAGCTCTAATACTCTAGTTGTTTGGAATTAGC